GGTCCTACATCTGAGCTAGGCGGTCTCGAAGTGCATCCTGCAACAAGTCCCCGTCCACGTTCATGCTCCATCGCTGCCCGCCCGCGCCGTTCCCCACAATGCCCAAGTCTACTCTACGCCGAAAGCCATTCTCATCCACCTCCCACAAAAGGTTCTCATCGAAGTCGATCCCCGCGTCGAGGAGGATGTTGTGGAGAGTGCAGACGGCCACGAATTGTTGTGGCAAGGTATCCAGGTTCATCTTGTGGGTGCGCAAGAACAGACGCCACATGCACTTCAGTCGCCCGAATGCCCTCTCCACACACCCCCACGCCACCTTCTACCGCGTGTCGAAGCGCTCCTCGTCAGGATCTTGGTCGATTCCTCCGTACAGCTGCACGATCCATGGACAGGCAACTGGATAACCGTTGTCGCCTAGCAGGTAACCTTGCGTGACGACACCGTGCGGCAGATTCTCCGGAGGTGTGTCGAACAGCTCGCCAGCTTCTGCACGCCTCCACAACTGGGAATTGTGCAGGACACGGACGTCGTGCACACTTCCCGCCAGGTATCCGATGTGGACGTCGAGGATCCGCAGATCCAAATCCACCACCACCTGCGCCTACACGGAGAACTTCTGTTTGCGGTCGTAGTAGTTGTCTGAAGGTGCGCCGGTAGGCTTGTCAATGTAGATGTGCGTACAGTCGATCTCGCCGAAGCAGTTTGGGAAACTCTTGTCACGGAATGCGCGCAGAATCTGCGCACGTCTACGGCCAACTGGCCACTTGATCGCGTCGAGGTACGCCTGCAGCAGCGCCGAAGTGACGTCGCGGACGGCCTGCAGTCCAGTTGCCCTGCCGATGTCGAAGGCTGACGTGCCGCTCTCGTACGTCTCTCCTGACGCCCACCTGTACAACGCGAAAGCGATCACCTGCTCCACTGGCAATGGCGTCCTGTAGTGCGTCACCTTCTTCTCCACGTACGCGGTGCACGCGGCTACGATCTGCGTGAACATGGCCATCGACATGCGTAACTTCTGGCGGTAGTACTCGTCCGTTGCGTCATCACAGAGGCGGAGATCCTCCCATGTTCCGCCAGTCCGTCGTTTAATCCACCAACGCGGGGTCTGCCGCGGGAAAACGCCATATGAAAGCGCGGCACACAACTGGACGACTGGCTCACACGTGGCCAGGCAATCCGGCGCTTCGGCAATCCGCTGCAGCAGCGCTCTTCGTTTATGGAGCTGCGTTAGCATGTCGCGTGAGGACGACGACACGTCGCGCATCGTGTTCACGACGACGGCAGTAACCGCCATTGCCACCGCGTCGATCTCCTCTTCGCGCAGACCGTGCCCGCTGCCGCGAACGTCCATCTCTGGGAATCGTTTCGCCCCACAGCGTGACGCCTGCCACAGCCGCCGAAGACACGCCCGCTGCTCAACCCTGCCGCAAGAGACCACGCACGCCGACCCGTAGATGCGCCCGCTGCCGTACGCTGCCACAGGAGATGGCGTACGCCAGAGCCAACGACGAGCCCGCTGCTCTACGCTTACGCTTCCACAGGACAGCACGCACGGCGGAGGTGAAGATGCGCCTTGCAGGAAGATGCCCCCGCTGGTCACAACTTGCGTGGAGTCGGAAGATGGATACCCACGCCGAACGGTTCGCCAGCGCCGTCTTTTGTGCGTCACACGTGTCGCCTGGCCGTCCTCCGCCCCGCCGCCCTGCGTCCGCGAGAATTCAAATTTGAATTTTTGAAGCTCGGGGTCACCGCGCTTTTCACCCACCCCCTCCTCACCCGCCCAAGGCCTCCGCAGTGTGTACCACGGACACCAGCCAGGACCCGACGGACATCGGCGACGCGGCCGCGTATACGAATATGAAAACAGGCCGCGGGAGACCTTGTAGGACGAATCCTAAAAGATGATTTTTAGGACTGCGTGTAACGATGCTGCACGAAATCCTAAAAAACCTTTAGGACTCGACCTAAAAATTTTAGGATTCTTTTAGGAGTGTCTAACGAGACCCATAGTGGCCAGATACATTCCTCAAAGCACTGGCGTGACTTCCACGTCCTCGACAATGTCCCACTCACACTCACTTCGTTGAGCTAGCTCAACGTTGAGTTTCCTGTCATGCGTGGCGAGGCGCTACTTGGGAGATGAAAGACCAAGGGGGGATCTAGCGGTTGTTTTTTTTGGTGAAAATTAGACTGTCTTTTTCATCCCTTACTCTTCAGCGAGTCTGGCTTGACGTTCCCACACGAGATCCCGCTGCCAGTGTTGGGAAAAAGGTGTGGTGCCGTGTGGGCCCAAGAAAAAGCAGAGCGAGAGATCGCCTTTTTTTTCTGGGGGCCGCGGTGCACGGTTCTCCGAAGGTTGCGAAGGGGGAAGGCGCGTTCCCCCCGTGGTGTGCTTGGCGAAAGGTCCAGGGCAATCCACGTTGTTTTTTTTCTGCGCATTTTTTTTAATTTTCCGTCGGCGCATGGGGAGGAGGTTTCGGTTGCCAGTGGGCAACTAGGTGAGTGTCACCAATAGGAGGACTATGGTCCACTGGGCCGAGGTAGACCCAGCGGTTGTGGTAGACCGAGTAGAAGTAGGTGAGCAGAAGTAGTTATTATTATTATTTTTTTTTATCGAAAGCCCTTCGAAAACCCACTATCTCGGCGGTGGTGAGAGAACCGCCAGGATTGAGGGTTTCCCCGTTGGGCCTACACCTGCTGAGAACTGGGCCCAGCGTCCTTTTAGAAACATCATGTGGCACAAAGTTAACTGTTGTTTGACAGGGCTATGAACCTTTGTATTCTCTACCCGGGGCAAGTGTTGCATTTTTTTTTTTTTTTTTTTTTGGAAAGCATGGAAAATTTTAAAATAATAAACAGGATCGAGGTCGGGAACCTCACAATTCGACCTGGAAAGGCTGAGGCCCTTACCCAGTTCCGGCTAGTAGAAAAGAAAAACTCAGCTGGAAACCGGGTCCAGTGTCCCGAATTCCTACTAAGATGCTACCCAAAATTCTCAGCTTCAAAGCTCATTGCAAAAAAAGGCCCTAACCAACTATGATTTTGTTGCTCAGGCTGTAGACTCTTGTCTCTCATGGTGGCTTCAACCATCTGGCAATTATCAATTTACCGTCCATTGTAACTATTGCCATTTGGTTGTCTCTTGCCCAGGTTTTCTGAAACCAGGGTCGACCTCTACTGTTACATGCTGCGCCTGCAACATGCTGCACCTACAACAAGGGCCATTTTCAGGCCCCGTGTCGTTTCAGCCTGAAAGCCTGAAAACAAGGGCCTGCATGCCCTGTGTCGTTTCAGCCTGAAAGCCTGAAAACAAGGGCCTACAGGCCCCATGTCGTTTCAGCCTAAAACAGGGCGCTCCGGGCCCTGAGTCTTTTCAGCCTGAAACGGAGGGCCATTTTCAGGCCCTCATAAGATCGACCTGCCCTGAAACTCAGGCACCAGACCAGGGTCTTAGCACAGGCCATTTTGGGCCTGTTTTCAAGACAACCTTTGTTTGAGATTCAATGCCAGGGTCTGGCACGTTTTGGCATTGGCAAGAGCAGCCTCCTGGATGGGCCAGCACTATATAGGACCGGCCCGCCCTGCAGGCTGCAGGTAGTTCAGTTCCTAGGGACTTCCCAGGCACTTCACGTGCAGTTCAGGAGGCAGGAGGTAGTCTTCAGGATTCGGCAGCAGCACTCTGGAGGAGCGCTGCAGTAGTAGTAGCAGCGTTAGCAGTAGTCTTCAGCGCTGGGCGCTAGTAGGAACTAGAGAAGTGTTGGAGAGCGACAGGTGGTTGGCGGAGGCCAGGGAGACTTACCTGTGGCGCCATAGCTCCAGCTTCATCCTCGATGTCCCTGCAACAAGGCGCCACCTTCACAGGTTAGTACCGGACTGACACACAGAGAGAGCGAGCGAGAGAGAGAGAGAGAGAGAGAGAGAGAGAGAGAGAGAGAGAGAGAGAGAGAGAGAGAGAGAGAGAGAG